TTAAAATTTAATAAACTAAATTATACTCCTGCTACTCTATATAATTCTAGTAGGTAAGTAAAAAAAAAAGCCTTTAAGGGCTTGTCTTCACTACCCGCCTGGATCGGCAGGTAGAAATCGATCTCTCGGGGATCGAATTATCGCGTCTCATCGGGACGCGACAATCGATCCCCGAATCAACGCGTGTACTCCACCAGTGCAGGTAGGAGTAAGCGCCGTCGACGGGGGAGCCGCGGCGGTCGATTTGCTGCTGTCCTCACAGCGGGGTAAGTCGGCTCGGATACGTCGAATTCAGCTACGCTATTCGTGTAGCTGAATTTGTGTATCTTAAATCGATCCCCACTCCCCCCCCCAGAGTAGACCTAGCCTCAGGCCTGATCCAAAGCCCAGTGAAGTCTGTGGAAAGACTCCCTCTCAGCTCAGAGGGCTTTGGAGCAGGTCATAGAAAGGATTACATGCTCTGTGAATTTCTATTAGGTTTTAGAGTAATTTCACAGAACCCTATTGATTTCATCCCTCTTAAATTACATAGGATTTTCCCATAAGGGTTTACCTTGCTCATCATTTCATACAGTTTAATGCCAGAAGGGATCATTAGTCTTACGTCCAGTATATCACAGGCCATTAATTTCATTTAGTTACCCTCATATTGAGCACAATAACTAGGGTTAGACTAAAGTATTTCAGCCCTTGGGAGACTGAGTTGTAGCAAAAAATCTAGCTCAGCTACATGCAAGTTTTCTAGCTGAGCAGCAAAACACCGGGATGTATAAACCAAATAGCTGGCAACTTTGTCCTCAAGAGATTCAACACAGCTGCCTGTAAGCATGTTACAAATATCTGAAAAGAAAATGGGTCTCCTCTCCATTTCTCAAAGTCCAGATTTCTCTCTCCATCTATTTTAGTAATTCTGTCTAAGGCCAGATGTTAAACATTTAAATATTTAATATTTTATAGTCTCTTTCAGCCTCTTGTATTAAAAAAAATGCAAGTTGACATTGTCCCCTTAATAGTTTGTAAATATCTGTGGACAGACATCATGTGACGTGTACAAGATATGAAAGTTCCCTTGTGGAATTGCTGCTTATGCAGTATGGGTGACATCTGCCACTGTGCAGAGGGAGAGGGCAAATCCTGTCCATCACTGAAGGGCTGATCACAAAGGGATACACAATGTACTGTATTATACTGCCTTTACTCTGTATGTGGAGCTACGTACACATGTAAATGGATCGTGGGACTTAAGTGGTGCATAGGAATTGCCCTGGCTTTTTGCACTGGGGTTACCCAATGTGCACTTATTGTGGTTAAAGGAAATGAGTCACCTTGAGCAGTAGCTGATCTTACTGCAGCCTAAAATAACTGTTGGACTTTCTGAAGACCATTCTCTCGCTCCTAGCTGCATTGAACATGTCTGTGGTGGTTATTATTTCCTCTGTCACAAGGGAGGATGTATTTTGGTTTTCTAACCGATTTGCTTTTGCAGAGCAAAATCTGCAATGCTTTTTGCTTCAGTCTTTATCTTCAAGGAACTCTATTTCTTAGGCTCAGCATATCTAAAAGATTGCTTAGAGCTTGAGAATGAGGACGTTGGTTGACAAGTCCCCTCCTCAGGCACAACTGAACTTTCCACCTTAAGGGTAAACCTCACCTGTCCTGGAGATAGAGCATTCTTCGGGGCTGTTGTGAGGCTGTGGAATGAATTCCACAGGCATTAAGGACCATCACAGACCTCACCACTTTCCTCTCCAAATGCAAGCCATGTTTCTTTGATGTGCTCTCTCTAGTATAAGCTCAAAGCAATGTTTACATTAAAAAAACAACCCTACCAAACTAAACACTTCATTGCACACACAGCTTTCCCTTCAGGAGAGGATGAAAGAACAAACCACATGAGACAGATGTTAGTCCCTTTGCTTAATAAACTATTGGAAGGTGCTAGGAGACTATGGTTATGAGGGCAATATTTAGAGTAGAACAGAATAGAAGTTGCTGCTGCCCCAGGCAGTGTGAACAATGAAATATCTCTAGACGCTTCTTTTAAATAAGATTTTATTTCAGTGATTCTTAATTTCAGATTCTTGGTCACACATCTCTCAGTATTTTGCAAAATGTAGGATCGTATAGGCCTGCATCCCTGAGATTAGGAGAAGACCCTCATATGTAAAACAAGGTCTTCTAAGTTATTGAGGATACAGTCCATTTCCATTGATTTCAAGAGCTCAATTCAAAATGCACAACCCAGGAGGAGAGGGGACTACAGTGGCTTTAAGCTACCTATGCAACTTTCTGATTCGGTCCTGTTTCAGAGGCTGCAGAGGCCCCTGGCATAATGTAGGCAGCCCTAAGGGGTCTCTCTAAGTTATGGAAACCTCCCTAGGCTGCCCTCTGGACCAAAGCATGGTCTGGAATCCTCACAGTGCTGTATACTGCAGCCCAGCCTGTGACGTGCCCTTGCTGCCCCCCAATACACCCCCTAAGTCAGGACTTGCAAAGAGAAATCTTGGAGGCAGCCTTGTGGCTTTCTTCAACAGTGCCAGTGTGAGGGGAATCCTCTCTCAGCAGGAACTGGGGCTTTTAGGACCTTTTTATGCCACACCAGCCCTTTTACCTGGTGTAAAGGTGCTGGAGAAGGGGTAAGGATCTCACCCACTGTGTATTGGATACAGACATTACGGTACAAAATCATTGCTGAACTCCCCTAACCTTTTAGCCTATGGTGCATTCACAATTTTATACGCAGAGTCTATAAACCAGAATGTCAATCAACTGAGTTTGAAATGAACATCTAACAATCCAAGCTTCCCTAGTCTCCACTGTATTTACTTCTTTTGAAGAATGTTAGGGTATTATAGAGAAATTCACTCCAAATTGTCTGTCTACTCTCAACTCTCAATTAATTAAAACATGCTAGTTTGGGTTAAAGTTTTTTTAAATTAAATATATAGATTTAACAGGTCTCAACTGGGATACACCAGTATTATTTTAATTACCTTTTTTTTCTTGATCCTCTTCATTATTTGATTCCTTTGGAATGAAGATCTCTTTAATAGCAATTAAGTCATTTTTCACAGTTTCCAACTGCTCTCCATTAAGTGATGTTAAAAATGACTGAATCTGAAAAAGGAAATGACAGTGATCACTACTAACCCAAATCACCCCTCTCTTTACTGAAATTACGAATTTTGATCCTGACCCCAAGGTGTGTTGAGCAGTAGACAAGAACTCCCATTAGAAGATCAGGTCCTTTATCTAACCTATCTACCTTATCTAGGGATTAATTATATGCTCATCTGCTTGGTATCCGAGTTTCTGACAAATATTACACAAGCCTTACAAGATATTCAGGCCACCTCCTGCTCCCAGAGCATATTTTTTGGATAACATCTTATAATTATTCTGGGAAGGCTCTGGTGAAGAGTGGGTAGGAAGAGCAGAGGGGAAGACTCGCTGTCAGCCTGAACAGCTGTGGCAGGAAATTCCAGAGTAGTGGTCCTGTTCCCTGCTCCCACAAGGCTTACCCACATTACCTACAGTCCAACTGTTTTGAAGAATGCAGTGGTCATGGCATGTCATTGTGCCTGAGAAAGTCTGGTTCTAGCCCACTGAAAGTTTTGAAAATTAAGGCTATCAACCTAGTGGATGACTGTTAGTAGTCTGCTCTCCTCACAAGCAGCCTTAGTTCCACTAAATTCCCGTAGGCTGTCTCTGGTGGACACTCACCAGTCTGTTTTCGTCTTCAACTAGAAATCTCCTTGCAGAGTCCCCAAACGGCTTTCAGTTTTCCCCCGCATGTAGGCTGCTAGATCTGTAGTTGATACCCAAGCACTGAACACTCTTGCTTACAAGAGATGAACCTCATTTCATTATAAAGAAGTCTGTGAGCTCTGGTTAACTTGAATTTAAACAGACTCATGCTAAGTTTTGGCTATGACGAATGAGAAGGTGTTTTTACTTGTTTCTTTGTTTTTATAGGACTGACTGTGATTTTTGTATTTACAATTCTACACCTAGAAATAGTTGCAAATTCTACAACTATAGGGACATTAGGTGTCAAAGTGCTGTTGAAATGGGCCTGCAGTTATTTGTGCCGGAAAAATAGCACAAAAAATGAAGTGAGACACTTTCAAAAAAGCAGGACCATTCTGTTTAAGAGAAACTATTCCTTATATTTCTATTTTTTGGGAGGGCAGGGAGAAATGGACTTCAAAAAAAAAAAGGTGGAGGAAGAAACGACTGAGAAATGTATTTGAAAAATGTCATAATGTATAAATACAACCGCTAAGTGTGCACCAAAGCTTTCCTGAATGGCTGCACAGCAAAGCCAATAAACTGACATTGAAAGCTAGCTGTCACAGAGACCTTATTAACTTAAGCATGTATCTCAGAGTAATCTTACAGGGTTTGTCTACACAGCAGTGTAAGCCCAGGTCTGAGTCCGGACACAAGGCAACCCCCTCTTGCATCCACACTGCAATTGCGCTAACCTAGGCTTGGACTTAGGGTCCCAGGACCCAGTAGGGCTATAGGGTCTGAGCCTGAGTTAAACCTGGACCTAGAGTCCGAGCCCTATTGCTATCCTGTGTGCACATGGTCCCATTTTGACTTGGGGTCCCAAGAATCTTCTAGATGTATCCTACAGTTCCTGGCGGCAGAGTAGCAGCGCTGCAGGCAGCCAGCACAGTGGTCTGGAAGTGCCACTACTGCTGGCCGAGCCTGCTCCCCATTCCTGCATCCTCCTGTGGTGGCTCTGGCTCCTGCGCCTCCTTGCTGTCATGTGGAGCTTGCCCACAGCAGGGAGAAAATTTGCCAGTTGGGATGTGGCTCTTGGCTGTTGGGGATCATTACCCCCCTGGCTGTGGTGAGCCAGGAGCTCTCCCTCTCTCTGCGGGGTGGTGCTCTGATCTTGCCCTTGCTCCTGGGCTCCCACTGCCCTCCCTGGGGACGCCCTGTCTGTGTGCACTGTCAGCATAGTGAGTGGGAGCTGGTCCCCAAACTTCCCTGCAGCCTCCTGGCATGCAGCGGGGGCAGGGATAAGGGATCCCCGGGGATGCACTTCACCAGACCGCAGCCAGCAGCAGCCAGGCTGGGGGGTGTGTGTGTTTTAAGAGATGGGATCTTTGGGAGGACAGCAGCGATCCACCACCTGGGTCATGCAGGCAAGGGCCACACACCCCGGGTGGAATGGAGCAGGAAAGGAAGCAGCTAGTTCTGGATCCCCTGGGGGGATTGCCAAGAGCTGAAGAACTTGATTATTAGGCAGACAAGCGGGTCACCGAGTTGGCTGCTTCTTGAGACTTGTTAGTAAAAAGTGGGAGTAAGAAAGTGCCAGCGGTTGAACATTGGAGGCTGCTTCTGCACCAGTCTTCAGCTGGGCCAGGGTTAGAAGACTTTAGACAGGGGTGGTGACTCTGATGCAGTGTATGACCCACTCGGGGTGTTCCTTCTGCAGGGTGAGTGATCTGCAGTTTGCACAAGCACATTATCAGCCACAAACAAATTTATTTTTCATCATGTCATTTTGACTTGCATTGCATGGCAATCGAGACCACTCCCTCCCAAACACTGCCCCCTCACCAAAAATGAGCCCGTTTTCCCCTCCCCTCGAAGCACATTCCTATAGGTACTATTTCCCCTCTGCCATTGGGCCATGCAAGTCCATAACGTGAGCACACAAAGTACCCCTTACTTCCGCTGCTCGGGTGCAATCAGCTCCCCGCCACGCTAGCCTCACTTCTGGCTGAGCGTATCAATCCAGTGTCTCCTCGCTGTCATACGTCCTTTTAGAGGGAAATGGCTCACCTCTGGCTTCACAGAAGTTATGAAGAGCACAGCAAGCCACAGTAACGCAGACAACAGTAATTACACTGGCATCTAAATGGGTTTGTAAACACCTCCAACAGGATATTAATCTGCCAAAAGCACATTCAACAATCATTCTACACCTGCTTAGAGTGTAATTAAACTTTTTTTTTGCCTGAGCCTCTGAAATCAGAGTATGATTTCATAAGCCAAGGCAAAAGAGGGTAGGTGGGTTCCCCGATAACAACAATGGGGACAGTAGCACTATTTATATCTATGTCATTTGGTGGAAATAGTGTCCCAGCCTGTCCATGAATGTAGATTCCAGAGCAGCAAAAAACTCTGGCATCATTAACTTTTCCTGTATAGCTCACACTGACATTCATAAATCTGCCTATGTGATCCACTACTGCCTGCATAACAATGGAGTAATACCCTTTGCGGTTTACATACTCATGTGCTCCTTGAGGAGGGCCAACTATGGGCACAAGTCCCATTGACAGCACCGCCACCGTTAGGAAACAGAGTGGGCAGTAGAGTTTTCCCACAGTACACCATGTTCCTAGGGCTCGAATGTTGACATTGGTGGGGGACACTAGGCACTCTGGAATATGGTTACTTTTGACTTGGGTTAGTGCACTGCAGTGTGGATGTCAAAGCCCTAGGTTTGAGCACAGGTCAGAAAATTCTTAAACTAGGGTTAAAATGCAATATAGATGCTCAAGCCCAGGTTTCCCTGACATGGGTCAGCTGACTCAAGTCCCAGTTACCCTAGGTTACATTACTGTGTAAACATAGCCACAGAGACTGCTTACATCTCTATTTATATCTTGGGTTAGTCAACAACAGGATAATAACACAATACAATAAAGAATATTTAGAAGTTAAATAAATAATCTGGAATGCATTTTCTTTTATTAACCTCTTGGTGTAGTTGGTGCAAGGTTCCTGAATATAAATGGCAACACCTTTAATAAAAACAATACACTTGAGTCTTCTGGTAAAGCTTGAAAGGGCATTAGCACCTTGTAACAGGTTTAAAGAGCAGAACACATAATGTCTTAACAACTAAAACTTTCAATGGCAGATTTCCTTGCTTCCTTTGTGCTAAATCCTGGTCCTCCTGAACTCACTGGGAAAACCTTCATTGATTTCATGAGATAAGGGATTGACCCTTGGGACCAAATCAATGCCCAGTGAAGTCAATGAAAAAACTCTTATTGACTTGTATGGGGAGATTAATGCTTACAAAAAGTATTTCACTAAGCATTTGTGTTTGTGATTTATGCAGCTTGTTTACTGTACCTTGGCTTCACTTTCATTTGACAGAATTTCCAGAGCTTCAAGATGGGACAAACCCTGGAACTCATCAAAAAGCAGCCCATAATGCGCTGTCCTTTCAACTGTAACTTGCTGGGCCAATCTCTGCTTCTCTTTCTCTTTCGCTTCTCGCAACAGCTGCAAAAATATACATCATTCCTGTTGATTTATTGACTGCACTGCAGATTTGCCAGTTTTTATTACTCTCAGCCTCATCTCTTCTAGGCAGTAATAATAAAATTTGGTACTATATTACACCTGCAGAGCTGAAATTTTAGTCAGCCTCAGATATGCCTCATAATTTTTTTTTGATTAACCTCTCTAATAAAATATTTAAGTAGTGTTCTATATATGTTTTTCCCTATGGTAATTATTAACTGTCTTTAAAAACCAACCAACAACAAATAACATTGCTCATATCCTCAAATGCAGTGATGGCTACAGGTAATACCTCATAAATTTTGCCACCGTTTGCAAGGGAAGAAAAATTAAAAAGCCTTTACTTCATCCAGTGCCCCATACAGATCCTACAGTATGTATACCTAGAGCACAATCTCTGCAGAATGCTGTTTCCAGGGTTCCTACCCACATGAAATATATATATAGTGAATATATAGTGAAACCTGTCATAAATGACCTTTGGACCCACAAAAATCATTTGCTTAATGAAGGTAGGGTTTTGTAGGAAAAATGGATCAGAACTGTACTCCATACATTTGGGGATATTATGGAGTGCTCTCTTAATACAGAAGGTTGCTTAAGAAGAAATGGCCTCTTGTACACATTTTCCACTGTATTTATGGGTTAAATTTCACCCTATCCAAAGCCTATGAACCACTTAAGGCTATTTTGACATTTTACGCTTACGTGGCACTTTGGCCTTCTCTGTCCCTCTGCACAAGGATGAAATATCTAGCTCTACCATTTTCAATACTGCATACACAATTCTTCATATCTAAATTTTGCATGCACAAATTAGATTAAAAGAAAGCAGTGGACTGGGACTCAGGAGAACTGGGTTCAGTTATTGTACCACAGACTTTCTGTGTGAACTTAGGCAATCACTTTACCTTTCTCTGCCTCATTTCCCCACCTCTTATTACCTCCATTTAACACTTCCTTTCTCCCATCCTTTGTTTCCCTTGCCTATTTAGGCCCCAATTCAGGACCACACTTACGCACATGTTTAACTTTAAGTATCTGCTTAAGTGCAGTCTGGAATAGGATGGGACATGCCAACACTTAACTCAGGGGTCGGCAATGTTTGGCACGTGGCTCGCCAGGGTAAGCACCCTAGCGGGCTGGGCCAGTTTATTTACCTGCTGACATGGCAGGTTCAGCCGATCGCGGCCCCTACTCGCCGGGTTTGCCATCCTGGGCCAATGGGGACGGCGGGAAGCGGCGCGGGATGTGTTGGCTGCGGCTTCCCGCCGCCCCCATTGGTCCGGGACGGCGGACTGCGGCAAGTGGGGGCCGCAATCAGCCGAACCTGCCGCGTCAGCAGGTAAATAAACTGGCCCGGCCCGCTAGGGTGCTTACCCTGGCGAGCCGCGTGCCAAACATTGCCGACCCCTGACTTAACTGAATTTATTAACATATACCTGCCCATGCAAGTAGCTGGTTTCATGTAGATGTGTATTTTTGCAGACACAGCTGTAGTCCAGTGTTTGAAAAATTGGTTCTTACCATCTAGATGACTTTCTTCAGATCATAAATTTTCAGTCAGATCAAATTTTGAGTCTACACTACTTGAGAGAGTCCCCTTTATTGCCAGAGTTGCAATATTACATTGTGAAGTGCCTTGGAATGCTTTACAAGAAACACATTAACCAAAACTAAGCCCTGATCTTGCACTCAGATCCATGTAGAAACTTCAACTGCAGTACTGGGGCCGTAGTATTTTATAGCTATACATATTTCTTTTTTAACAGTAATGGCCATTTGGAGCATTGCTCAAGTAGATATAGGTAAAGTGTATAATTATGTAATTTGCTTAGCATGGATTAGTTTGCTTTTGATCTGTTCTAACAGTATCATTCTGTTTCTGCTTACAGTGGTAGATGTTAAAAATGAAACATCTTATTGAGAGAAAAATATCTCACTGCAATATTACATTCTACAAACAGGAAAATATTGTCGTAATATAAAGGCTTCCTTTTAATGTCTACTGCTATAGGATTTCCCTTAACCTTACTACATATAGGGTTTTATGCTACCTAGGTCTATCTGTGTTTATTAACACACACACACACTTTATTGATGAAATTCTGCTCCAGTTAGCAAAAGTAGTAAGCAGTTACTGAACATCTGTACCTGGAGAGCTAAAGTAACTGGTACTGGCAATGATTATATTCGGATTATACTGTTACAAGGTCTCTGAATCTTTGAAGACACAAATCATAACTTGACTCATATGGTAAGGGCATGGCTCATTGCTGTTGAGTATGCTGTTTCCCTAGATGATAGCATTAATTTAAAAGGATATAAGTAATAATTTTTTACTGCTTTAATTTTTTCCCCAATAAAATAAATGCTATATTCCACTATTACTCATTCCCCAGGAAAGCACTACAACTATGTATGTATTGGTGTGAATACAGATTTATAACTATTAAGAAAACATTAAGGGTTTGAGCACTTCTCCAGAGTACGTTTATCACCTGACACAGTATCTTATGAAAATCGGTAATTGCACATCCTTACTTATATGCAAGTGCTGATTTTACAAAATACATTAATTTGCAGTCCTGCAGAGAACAAAGCTGCAGAGCTGACACAATGCATAATTTTTATTTGGATAGGTCTAACTATACTAAATTAACCCTACTACTGATGCGAATGAAATTCTTGCTCAGTAATCTGCAACTGCACTAACAAAGAGGGTTTGAAGCAATCCAACCTGAGATAAGGAAACTGTTCTTTCCATCAGTATTTTGGTTCTCTTAAATCCAGGATCACTTTCTGCCAGGACATTCATGGTTTTCTTGCCGATAAATTCCAAAGCATCTAGACCACCTGTCAAAACACTTTTTCCCTGCACATAAAACAATGCAGTGTGGTTATTTTCTTTATACTTTATGTTAATAAGAAATTGTAAAGAAACACTGGTTCTGCTGACGCTGACTTTGAATTTTTAACTCCCTAAGGTTTCTCCACCCTTACTAATAATAGGATTTATGACTTCATCAATCATCTCACTTTGCTTTGAATCCATTTTCCAGGAGAAAAAGTACTATACAAAAGTTTTATAATTAACTTATTTTGAATGATATTTAATAGCTTGATGTCAATAAGAAATATGCCCAATAGCAATTCTCTTAATAAATTAAATAATAATAATCAGAGAATAAAGCCATATTTACTTTGTATACATGGATGGTTCATCTTTTCCTTTAAATGGCATGCAGTGGGTCAGTGCAAATTTTAGGTACAAAAGGTTCCTTTGAAGTTAAGGACGCTTATGAAAGGAGCTCACCTCACTCGTGTAACTGAGTTTTTTTTTCATTTGACAGCTGCGATGAACTGCTACATGGGAGATTCTCTCACCTGAAGCCATTGATTCTATGTCCTCTCACGAGCTTTATTCATCTCTCTCATTGGTTCAGCTACATGGAAGAAGAACCTACACTGGCTAACTGTTCTGTCTGTGGCCTAGACTCTATGTCTGGCAGCTTCTCAAATGAGGAGCTGAACATGGAAAACTTTACAGAGGTCTCAGCAGTCAAGACTGCCTCTGTTCTCAGTATTAGAACATTGAAGGAAACTTTTTTCAACAAGAGGCAGGAGTCACTACCTGAACTGTTCTGTTTCTTCTTGATACCATTTGTTACCTTGATATGACGGCCTTCACCATCCACATGGACAGCTCTAACTTTCCAGCTCGCCCTCCTAATTCTCCCACTTGCAGACTGGCTTCCCCATGGAGCTCAGGCAGTCTCACCCAAACCCACCACCAGCAAATCGTAGGTAGCTACAACCTCACTGACTCTGTGACCCTCACTGCAGCCCTTGGGGGGTGGTCAATGGAAATCTTCCTATGTTCCCAGAATCTTTGACATTAAAGCGAAGCTATTCATGGCATGCTTCGAATGGGCTGGACAATCATTGAAAGGGAACATCACCCTCACCAGTTTTGCACAAAGGAAACCCTGCCATCTATGCTTCCTGGATGCTGCCTGCAATTTTCTGCAATCCTATGCTAGTGCATCATGCAAAAAAGTTCAAAGGAAAATGACTGTAGAGGTAGCATTTTATACACACTGAAAGGAACAAGGCAAGATGTGGATGGATATTGGAGAGGTAAAATGGAAGAAGCAACAGGATTAGGCAAAAGCTGGGATATAGGGGAGGAGAGGGAAGAAGAGAGTGAAATGTAATGTTTAAGTTTTGAGCCTGGATCACAAGGAATATGGAAAGGACAATGGTAACAATGGATAAGGGAGGGAAGATGAATAGTTAGTTCAAATTTTGCCATGTTGAGTTTGAGATGGCACCAAGATATCCAGAGAGCAGTGTCAAAGAGACAGTTTGAGATGTGAGACTAGGCATGGAGGGAGAGGCCGGGGCTAGAGAAGAAAAGAAATCATTTAGTAAAAGTATTGAACCAAGCAAATGTAGGATTGTCTTGTTTTATCTACCAGCAAAAATATCAGAAACCCTCCTCTCAAAGTTAATCACAAAGGATTTGATTTTAATAAAATCACGAGAGCACCACACCTTCATATGACTCCCAAGACTTTGCATAGACATACACAGTGCACCAGCCAGAATTTTTTTAAAACTAAGTCTAGTCCCAAGTGTTCACTCAAAGGCCAGGTCTACATTTTGAGCTAGCGATGTGATTCCCAGCTCCCATACACATACTCGCGCTAGCTCAATGAGAGCCAGCGCAAGTATAAACAGTAGTGGAGCCAGGGTAGCACGGGCAGCAGATGCAGTGGCATGGTTCAAAACCAGGCTGAATACAAACTCACCTGAACCTTGTGAGTAGGTCTCAGCATTGCTAAGCTGTGCCTCTGCTGCCACTGCCCGTGCTACTGCATTATGCTACTGTTTATAGGTGCACTAGCTCTCATCGAGCTAGCCTGAATATGTGTACTTAAGCTGGGAATCGCACCCCTAGCTCACAGTGTAGGTGTAGCTAAATTGGTTACTTTCTTTGATATACTTGAAACTTTACATTGAGCTAGTTATTTTTGCGTAAAAGTGTCATTGTAGATCTGTGGTTCAAAAACTGTTTTTCAAACAGTCACACAACTCCCAAACCCTCGTCTTCAAATGTGACTTGCAATTAGAGGGCACAAAGGAGAACTTCAGAAGACAAGACTCATTGGAGTTACTCACTGTGTTCTGTACAGCATTAGTGATTGTTGACAGCATCCCACGAGATCCAGATGAAGGCGAAGAGGGTGAAACCCCAATGGAGCTCTGGTCTGGGGCATCGTTGGACTCTAATAAAATGAAAAAGAGCCAGGCACAACGCATCTTCAACACTGTGTTATTTTCAACAAATCACAATGAACTGGATTCTGTCACCAAAATCTTTGAATTTCCTAAATTGTATACATTTGATAATTTGTCAAAATGTTTTGTTCAACTTGGACTAATAAGCTACTTACTGATCCCTGGTATTTTGCTCTCAGTTGTGGCAGGTTGTGGGCCTTCTGAAGATGTTGAACTCGCATTATGAATTCTTAGAGTGGCTCCTGCTTTTTCCTTTACTGCAGTTAATCCATGACCTGTAATGGTACAAATATATTTTAGATGCAATTATGCATGTGTCTGGGATTTGGAAACACTCTTATTACTAGTAACAAGGCATAATATTTAATGCTTAGTAAATACATCAATTAAAAATTAGGTGAAACTCACAAAATATGAAGCCTGCTACATCTGCTTAACTTACTTCCTAGGTCAGAAAAGCCAGCTAGACCTTCATTTACTCACTAGTTATATTAATACATTTCAAATTCGTGTCCTGTATGTTAATTGAGCAGAAATGATGAAAATGAAATAGAATACAAATGATACAGGATATAGATCATTGTAAATCTTGTTATTGTGACAGAGAGGGGTAAATTTAGTGCTCAATCTTTCAAAGTACTGAGTGCCTTCAGCGCTGATTAACTAAAATGGGAACTGAGGGTGCTCTGTGCCTCCCAGGGCTGGGGCTTAAGTGGAATTCAGATGTTTCATAAGAATGGATGGCCATATTGGATCAGATCAATGGTCCATCTAGCCCAATATCCTGTCTTCCGACAGTGGCCAGTGTCAGATTCTTCAGAGGGAATGAACAGAACAGAACAGTTATTGAGTGATATATCCGCTGTCATCCAGTCCCAGTTTCTGGCTGTCTGAGGTTTAGGGACACCTGGTGCATAGGGTTGTATCTCTGACCATCTTGGCTAATACCCATTGATAGACCCATCCTCCAGGAACTTATGCAGTTCTTTTTTGAACTCTGTTAATAGTCTTGGCCTTTACTATATCCCCTGGCAATGAGTTCCACAGATTGACTGCGTGTTATGTGAAGAAGTACTTCCTTGTGTTTGTTTTAAACTTGCTGCCTATTAATTTCATTGGTTGACCCCGGGTTCTTGAGTTATGTGAATGGGTAAATAACACTTAATTATTCACTTTCTCCACACCTGTCATGATTTTATAGACCTCTCTCATATCCCCCCTTAGTCATCTCTTTTCTGTCTTTTTAATCTCTCCTCATATGGAGGCTGTTCCATACCCCAATCATTTTTGTTGAGATGAGGTGACCAAAACTGCATGCAGTATTCAAGGTGTGGGCATATCAAAGATTTACATAGTGGCATTATGATATTTTCTGTCTTATTATCTATCCTGTTCTTAATGGTTCCTAACATTGTTAGCTTTTTTGACTATTGCTGCACTCTGAGCAGATGTTTTCATCGAACTATCCACAATGACTCCAAGATCTCCTTCTTGAGTGAAAACACCTAATTTAGACCCCATCATTTTGTATGTATCATTGGGATTATTTTTCCAGTGTGCATTACTTTGCACTTATCAAGACTGAATTTTATCTGCCATTTTGTTGCCCAGTCACCCACTTTTGGGAGATTCCTCTGTAACTCTTTGCAGTCAATTTTGGACTTAACCATCTTGAGCAACTTCATATCATCTGTAAACTTTGCCACCTGTTTACCCCCTTTTCCAGATCATTAATGAATATGTTGAATGGCTCAGGTGCCAGTACAGATCCTTGGGGGACCCTGCTATTTACCTCTCTCCATTGGGAAAACTGACCATTTATTCCTACCCTTTGTTTCCTATCTTTTAACCATATACTGGACCTTTCCTCTTATCCCTTGATTGATTACTTTGCTTAAGAGCCTTTGGTGTAGGGCCTTGTCAAAGACTTTCTGAAAGTCCAAGTACACTATATCCACTGGGTCTCCCTCCCTTGCCCACTTGCCTTCTGACACCCTCAAAGAATACAATCCATACAATTCATCTTTTCTCCCAACATTTTTGGGGCTATCGGATTTGTTCTCAAGTGTGTTACTTGGATTGGATTTTAGGAACACTTTCCCTAAAAGTCCTGAGAGGTGATACAAAGGAGAGTTGAGGATGCTCAGGACTTTACAGGACTAGGCTCTGAACACAGATGCAGGGCTTTCCCTTATGAACCTTTGCTCTCTAAACAATCAATCATCCCACTCTCCTGGGTTATGTTGTTGCTCTAATTTTAACCTTCAAATCATCTTCCCCCAATAATACTAACCAGCTTTCATTGTGTATGTTACCTAGGCATTTGACCTTTGGACAGGAGGAGCTCTGGTTGGATCAGGTGGCAGAAAAACAAGCATTGCACCCTCATTTAGGAAGGTATTTGGTAGGTGGTCCCATTGAAGTCAATGGGACTATTCACAATCTTAAAGGCAGGCTTAGGTAAAGGTTGTTCTTTCAAAAGCATACAGTGTTTGCCAAACTCTGCTCCTACTGGAGTCTACAGGACCAGGGTTAGGACAATGCTGAGAGTTTCTGAAAATCCTCTTGCATATACCTTGCCGATTTGGGACCTAAGTATGCACAAGGAGGTGTTAATGATACTTCCGCACACTTATGCTTCTCTGCCATCAACTAAGTTGTCATGAGTTAAAAAGCTGTGATGTGAAAAATCAATCTAGGAAAACAAATCAAAGACATTTCTAGAAATCTAAAACAAACACAATTGTAGGTGTTTATTAAATATTGTCCATATTCCCTAAGATTGGGAACTGCATGCATTTTATAAATTAAAAAATGAGTTTTCCCAGAGTTATTTTGATTGCTGCAAAACAGTTCATCAGTAGCTAGAGTACAGTACAGTATTTATATGCATCTGGGGTATCCAATTAGAGAGAGATGCAACAAACCATTGTGATTGAGGGTGGAGTGGAGGGAAGTTTTGCTGCATGGTTCTGTGATTGCCAGATGGATTATTCATGAGATGCTCTATGAATTCAAAAAGTATCGTCTGGGGACTATAAAATTACATAAAATAACTCTACATTGTGAAGCAGCACATTTGAGAGATCACGTGCAAGAACAGCAGAGTATCTTGGGGAAAACACAAAGTTCCAAAGTACAGAAATCTCTTACAGAACAGACCTGCAGATTGTGCTGACTATGTGAAATAACCGATTTACTATTTTATAGTTTAGTCTACGTGGGACTCTTGCATTTTACATTGAAACAATGAGACTTGGCAGCTTAGAATTTTGATTTGTCACAACAAGATGGTTGAAATGATCTTTGCCTCTTTTTTCCTGTCTCACAAACTGTAGTTGTGTGTCAAACTGTGCATGGTTAGTTAGGCTACCAGCAATGAAACTGTGAGTCAACAGAGTTATTGCAGAGTGAAGTTCTACTTTATCTTTCCCTAGCCTGCTGTGCATTTTAATTGGTTCAATGAAAATATTATTACCATTAGTAAATTCATGATTCATTATTTTTATTGACCAACTTTCTGGGACTGTAAGTAATTGTTAATTTGTGCTTGTAAACTAATATAGCTAGATACTCTATGTTGCATTCGTTAGCATTTCTATTATTTATATTTTTACAAAAGGGAAATCCAAAAGAAATTTCAATTACTTTTTTTTCTACTGAGTCATAAAATTGTATTCACCTTCTTTTGAGATTGTGACAAAATATTGCAGACAAATCAATATATAATTTTTTAAAAATATTAACTGCACATAGGAAGGTGTGCAGGGTTTTTTTAGGTTGATTTTCCAGTTTCCTTACATAAAAATGATGTTTTGTTTTTTCTTACATTCTGAAATGCTGGCCTGAAAAATATACTTATGGCTTTTCAGCTATGCTTACACCGTCAAGAAAATGAGCATGCATATTTTGGTGGTGTATTGATATTTACATTATGAGAATTCAGCATTTGCAGAACTGTACCTCTAGCTTTCATGCACCGCAGAACTGTGAGCCAATAATTCAGGGAAACTGGATGCAGTTTTGCTGAACTAAGCTTTGAGCTAAGCACCTCCGACTATAACAAAAGAAGCCGATTAGCTCAAAGTAGCACAGCTGGGGCATGTCATCATTGTTGAGGATGTACATGAATGAGGAAAAGCACAAACATCATGAAAATACAAATTGTTTTAGAATGTGAGCGTGACAGACATTCAAATGAAAAATTATTTGTTACTTTAACAACATGGAAACGGGAGGGCTCTCGATGGTTCTGTGTTTTAGAGATGAAGACTTACTGATTTTGTTTTACATAGTGGTGTCATATTTACGCAGATATTACAAATACAGTATCTTCTGACAAAATTAGTGACTCTTTTCTGTCCACCCTCTCTCCATCTGTTTCCTAATTAAATTTATGGCTTTGTCTCCACT